CCTGATCTCTACCCATAACTTGTCAATATCCTCGTGGTCCTCGTCAGGAAGCTCTAAAGCTTCAAACCTATTCTTAACATTTAGCTCGAATCGGTTTCTAATTGATGGATTTTTTAATTTTTCCAAATTAAAATTCTCAAAATCGAAACGGTTTTCGTTTCTCTTTTTTATATTAAGTTTTTGCCGAAGTTTAGCGATTACTAATTCATGATCCGATCCACATTCTGCTCCGCGATAAGACCGTACATTAATTATACTGCTTTGCCAGCTTTATTGTATCAAGACATGATCGATTTGATTTCGTGTTTGCGAATCCGGCGATGTCCAAGTATATTTATGAATATCCTTATATTTAAACGTGGTACTTTTATTATCAGGTTTTTCGAGATGGCAAAGTTTATCAGATGGATCCCATTATCATTACTATATTCGTGCAAACTTTCTTTACCAATCGTTGGAATATAATTCATGTAGTTTCGCGGCAGCTTATCATAAACCCATTCGAGTTTATCGTAAAATTCACTTTTGACTTCATCGTCACTGTCTTCGGTCGGACAATGTATGTTTATTAATGCGATTTTAAACCAACATCCCTGAAATATAGCTACCGAAATTCTATCACTAAAGAATTGTACGTCATTCAAAGCGGATAGTAATCTACTCCTAATTAGAAACCAGGTACCTAAACAATGATTCCCGCTTCCTCCGTACCAAATAGTGTACTTTCCTTCCCTCATCGAGCCCTCCTCTGGCCAGCGAACCTCTTGCAGAGCCACGACATCCAAATTGTACCCATTTACCTCATTTGCGACCGATTTTAGCCTCCCTGCTGTGTTTAAACTCCTTACGTTCCACGTACCAATATTTAAATCCCTATATTTCAACTTGCTCCATGAATCCCCTAAAGCAGTCCCCACCCGGAGATCCGAACGGGGGACTAGTTTACCTCCGGGTAATGTGCGTTTTACCTTAGGGAGATCCATGACTATTTGTGGTGTTTGGTGAACTAAAGATATGTGAGTAGGGCGTTCAATCCTACGTCACACCCTCCAGCAAGTCTGGTGGGCCCCTAACTCCAGCAAGTCTGGAGGTCCCCTACCTCCAGCAAGTCTGGAGGGCCCCTCTCATTGTTGGTCAGCGAGTCCATCGGACTTAGCCGGGAGGAACATCCAAGGAATTTCCACCAACCATCCCCACATCCGCCACCCGTGGGACGCTCCCCACACGCGGTGATGAGTCCGCGCGAGGTTTACAAATTTACATACATATAATCTAAATATAAATAAAATCTACGATATTTAACGTTTAGAATGGGTTTCACAAAACATGAATAACAATACAAATAAAAAACATAAAACGATTACTGCATAATAATAGTTATATGAAGCAGTTACTATGATAGATACAATAAAAAATAAAAATATTTATAAATATAAACAAAATATTACTATTAAGGTAAACTAAAAACAAACGTTTAATAGAACATGGCTATGATCAACAATTTTGTGTATGCAATTTGTGTACTCCCATCATATAATAGTAAATTTTATTTAACTTACCTATACAATCGATATTCAGTAAAATATTCACTTTAATCTTAACCAGTCGAATCACGGAATACGCCGAGGAAATTATCGGAGACTACCAATGCGGATTTAGACGGAATCGTTCAACTATTAATCAAATATTTTCTTTACGGCAAATATTAGAGAAAAAAATTGGAATACAACGGTATTGTTCACCAGCTGTATATAGATTTTAAAAAGGCTTACAGAAACTATATAATATTCTAATCGAGCAGGGGATTCCAAAAAAACTAGTAAATCTAGTCAGGATGTGCTTGGCGGAGACACTCAATAAAGTTAGGATCGGTAATAATCTGCCGAAAAAATTTGAGGTTCGGTCGGGTTTAAAACAGGGGGATTCCCTTTCGCCTGTCCTTTTCAATTTGGCATTAGAACATGCCATTAAGGCGGTAATGCGTAGAGAAAAAGGGTTGGATCTGGGTGGGACAACATCGGTGCTGGGCTATGCTGATGATCTGGTAGTGTTAAGCGAAGACGTTGAAACTATAAAACTAAATACGACAACGTTAATGAAAGCCGGTAAAGAACTAGGACTCGAAATAAACGTGGATAAATCAAAATATATGGTTAGCTGCAAAAATGGCGATACTACTGGTGATACCGATATAGATGGTAATATGTTTGAACAGGTACATAAATTTAGGTATCTAGGTTCTACGATAACTAGAAAAAACGAAATTGAAGAAGAGATTAAGGTTAGACTGAAGGCGGGAAATGCTTGTTATTTTTCTGTGACAAAACTACTTAGTGCGCGCCTCTTGACCCGGAACTTAAAAATTAGAATCTATAAAACAATTATCTTGCCTACAGTTCTCTATGGATGCGAAACTTGGCCGCCTACATTAAGGGATGAGCAGCGTCTTAAGGTTTTTGAAAATAAAGTATTGCTTAGAATATTCGGACCGAAGAAGGATGAGTTAACCGGAGAGTTCAGACGGTTACACAACGCTGAATTGCGTGAACTGTATCCGGGTAATATAATTGATGTAATTTCATCGCGGCGAATCAAATGGGCTTGTAAAGTTGTTGGATTTAGTAACGAGAGAATTCCTAAAAGGTTAATATTAAGAAGAAACGAAAGATATGCAGCCTGTAATTTTTCCCAGAGCCAACCTTTCCAACGTGGTTCCTCAATGGTGTGGGCTGGGATTTCAATGGAGCGCCACTCTGAATTGGTTGTTGTTCGTCTTAGGGACTTTGACGGCCATTCGCTATGTAGATGAGATTTTGGAACCTCATGTGTTGCCTATCCTCAACGAAATCGGCGATCGCTCTATTCTAATGCACGCCCACATGTTGCCTTCAACAGAACAATATTGAGGTTTCAGCCTGGCCAGCGCGTTCTCCAGATGTATGTAGAAATAAATTTACGTTTCGAGGAGGTTATGTAAATATTATGTTTTAAATCGTCCTTATCATCTTAGAATTCAATTTAATGTCAAATTTGAATAAGCTGAAATTTTACCAGTTTTTTACAGAGAAGGTTCCTCATTTTTTACGTCATCTTTTTGTTCTTCACACTCGTAAACTTAAAAATATCTAGTGACAAGTTAATGCTAATTTAATTTACACACGATCTATGTTCATGTCCATGGAAACTTGTGTGTTGCTGGAGTGTGCGCCGGGATGGCTTTTATAATGTTTGGAAGATATTTCAAATTGAAACTAGCCATTGCTACATAAAAAACAGGGAAAGCATATCTAAGCCACAATGAAACATAGAAATTTCCATTCTCTTTGATTATAATATTTAATATTCATAAGTGTAACATAACATATTTTTCTAATTTTTTTTTAATAGTTTATTCAACTTTTTCTGTTTGATTATAACATTTAATATTGATTAATATAACAGAACATATCTCTCGGTTTATTTTTGTGTATTTTATAATCAATAAACAGAAAAATAATTTGACATATTATCAATAAAGAGGAGTTTGTTTCGAGTTTTACCAGAAATCTGATTAATTCATCAGATAAAAAGTGTATCATAGTGAGACAAAAATTACTCTGGTTTTTAGAGGAATACAATCATGGAATCTTTGGAGTTGTTTAAGGACAGTTATGGATTTTCCGTTAGTCTGGGAAATATGGTTATTTCAGGAATGGTTCTGGTCAAAAGTAACTTCTAGGTTTTTGAATGTTAGAAAAACGAGACGGTTAATTTATATACAAATTCATAATTTCATGAGAACTGAACGAATAAGAGGTGATTGAACAGGTGTGATTGGAAGGTGAGGAGGGTATTGGAGCAACGGATGTCAGATGGGATAGAATTCTATAGGGATGTGGATCGAACAATGAAAGATCTGACGAAAGCAGCGGTTCGGTGGGATCTTGTGTACAAATCTGAAGGCCGGGAACGGGTTTTACGGGAGTGGATTGAAGATTTGAATTGAAGGAGCTAGGAGATATATGAAGGACGGCGGGATTGGGTGACTTGGAAGAGGAAGGATGCTAGGACTTACGTCTGTAGGAAGGATAAAGCCATTTCAGCTCTTCATAATAACGGGAAACAGAAGCGTCCTTTTGGATCCCAAAGATGAATCGTACAAGGCACTTCATCGAACGTTTTAGTTTCGTGTCGAGATCACCAGAGACGTCCCCGTATACCGTAAAGCAATAGTCGAAGTGAGAAAATATTCAGGAAGTATTCGGGAGTTCACGGGTTTCAAATAGAAATAGAGGACGGAGGTAATTTAGTCGTTTTAAAATGGAAAAGGCACGACAGAAAATATCGGATACATGATTATTTTTGTGTTAATTAAAAAAAAAATTAATTTTTTTATCTGTTAATTCATAATCACGATTAGTTGAATTTTTCAAGAAATAAATGATTTATCACTTATGAAATAGATGAGACATAAATGATCGGTATATGCAATATTTATTTTTTTGAAATTTCAATGTCTTCAAAGTTTATTAAAGAAATAGTAGTATTTATTTCTATGTTATAATTTTAATTACTAGAAATCCAATGTAAATAATCATTTCTCAGATTACAGGCATGTTCCATTAAATTGTTTAAATAATTTTAATTGTATTCAAATATTTAAAAAATATATTATACCAAATTATTATATACCTTCATACAATGTTGGGATGTTTTCCATTATAATAGAAATGTGTTTATAACATAAATTAGAAAATAGGATGGCTTAAGAATGATATTATTGTGAAGAGCTAGGAAAAAAGTAAAAAAAAAAAAAAAGATAATTATTCTCTCATTTATGATATATTTTTCTGTCTGATATTTACTTTTCCATTTAAATTCTAACTTCATTGTAAATATATTTCGGTATAGTCTCAAGGATTATCTTTAAATTGGTTATAATACATTGTATTAACTACAATATTACCTAAATTATTGAACATATGTTTTACAAATCAAACAAGATTGGTTGTGTACTAATTTCATGAAGAACACGCTTCGTCAACAACACCAGTAATTTCGCAAAGTGTCTTCTTGAAGTTGTCCACTGCATCTTGAGCTAGATCGTCATCATGTCCCTAAAACAGGAGAAATTAAAAATTATAAATATTTATATCAAAGATATGATAACCTTTTTTTAAAATATTATGTTTTTATTATTAACGAAATAATGAGTTAGTGGTTTTTACTTTTACTCATATATATATATATATATATATATATATATATATATATATATATATATATATATATATATATATATATAATATAGTAAGGGTAAGTATTGCGAACGTGAACATTTTGGAATCTGAGTTTTCAACAGAAATACTAGTTTTGATGTGCACTGAGACCAAATAACTAATTCTCGCAAAATGGTCTCTGCGTGTGTATGTTAACAGTCAAGCTCAAAAACGAAAAGTCGTACGTAACTATTATTACGTATTTAAAATAGGTATAATACCTTAGATGTGACAGCAATCTTTTCTTTAAAATCGACTAATATGTCTTATTGCAAATAATTAACTATCTCACATTGTTAAGAGTTACGAAAAAATGCTAAATATAACTTTTGAAAGAATTTGATAATTGAATAAAAATGCTTATCCAGGTCGAAATGAATCTTCAGAAATAGTAGTGAGAAGGTATAGGTATATGTTGAAAAGCGGAGAATTTTCGAAAACAACAATGTCTAATATTGAAAGTTGTAGAAGGTAACGGAGAGTGGCGAAAAAAATATAAATAACAATTTCTAAAAGCTAACTTTACTTAACGTAAACCACGTGTTTTCAAGAAAATTAAATGAAATTTTCTTACTAAATTCAAACTTTAAAATTTTTTTTTAAGTTTGAAAAACTATTTAAAATCCACAGACTCAAGGCAATGACATTGTTTAAGATACTATTTCATTGTACTTGTGTGAAAGAAGAAGTAAAATATAAAAATATTTCATGGCTATGTTTATAACCTTAAATATATTTACTGTAGTTTAATATCTGATATTATATTTAATTAATTAGGAATCTATCGTCCGTTTATTAAGAAAAATCATCATGTAACCTTTTAGAAAATTAAATTAGTGAATAATTTGATAAATTTTCCCTTTGCGATATTCCAACAATATCCACTTAAAATTAATGTGCCAACTCTTGACCTGTCTATGACAGACAATACAAATCTCTTAATTTCATTTTATTAAACTTTGCAATGGAAAATAACAGATAAATAAATAATAGTCGTACAATCCATAATCAACGAATCGTACCATACGTAACCAACCGGTGATATAATAATAGTATTTATGTTATTTATTTTATTATAGGCCAATATGACCAGAAAATAATTTCTGCTCAAAACTGAACGGTAAGTGAAAGTTGTGTGTTGCGCGCACCAGATTTTTTCTTTTACTTACATCATTGAAGGAGACATAAGGAACGAAGCCACCATATGGAAAAAATGCAACTGTTTTCTTTCCATTTTTCTCGAATAATTCCCATCCTTCATCTGATTTATAACAATTGATTATTTTTGGGTAGAGACCAGCTGGGAGTTTATTTTGGCACTAGAAAGTATATAAATTGAATTTTAAACATTACTAAAAAAAAACAAACAAATAAAAATCAATTAATTATAGATATGTTATTAATGGTAAAGATAATGAAAAAACGGTTAAAATAAATAAAATCAAATAAAGAACATATATCTTATTATTTAAATGAATGATATTTTGTTTAACACCGTGTATTTTTCTTATTTAATGATTTACATAATACACACACCTTGAGATTTCAAAGGCTGTAGAAGTTCAAACTTTTGTTTTGGGTCGTTTAAAGATTTACCTCCTTGGTGTTAGTATTTCTCAAATTTAAATATATAAGTCTAATGAAAATATCTTATTATTTTTGTATTTATTCTTTTCTTTCCTCTTACCTTATCAATGGGATATTTAGAAGATCTACTAAGTTTGTAAGCCATGATCGCCTGTTTTTCTAAGCATGCGATGTAATTCAATGTAGTTAGTACGTCGGGGATATACTTGGTGGCACACGAATGTAGCCTGTTTCCTTCACATTCGGATTGACCATGCTGGCATTGGTAATCATGAGTTGTCGCATTTATCTAAAAAATAAATTAATAAAACTTAAGTGACCTCAATGAAAAAACTTCAACCCTAACTCCACCTCAAATAAATGAAATATAAACATTTCAAATTTTATGCTCTAGAAAAGCATTGTCTGGAATTATTATATCAAGAAAGTATATATTGGAATAAATAGGGAATTGGACATTTTGATATACATATATTTTTTTTTATGGACTTATAGTTGACTGTGAAATCACAAATTTCCTTCATCATCTGACAATTTAGGTTGTGATCAGAAATAAAATAATGAAATATAATGTTAGTGTAACTTTCTAATTTTAATCAGTTACTAATAGAATAATAAAAAATTAAAAAAAAAAACATGAAGTAAAAATAATAAAGAACGAACTGATAATGTATATATACATATTTACAGTAGTATCTATTTACAATTTTATGGGGACTGCGTGAATTAGAAATGATTGAACAGGCGGGATTTCAAGATAAAAAGGGTATTGGATTGACGGATGTGGGTAGGGATGGAGTTCCAAAGGGATGAGGATCGGATAATGAACGATCTGTCGAAAGCATCGGTTCGGTGGGCCCTTATATATAAATCAGAAGACCGGGAACGAGTATTGTGGGAACGAACAGAGGATTTGAAAAGAAGGAGCTCGGAGATGTATGAAGGACGGTGGGATTGGATGTCTTGAAAGAGGAAGGATGCCAGGAAATACGACGGTAGGAAGGATAAAGCGACTTCAAGTCTACTTAAAAATGGGAAACAGAGGCGTCCCTTGGGATCCCGAAGATGAATCGATCAAAACAATTTATCAAACATTTCAGTTTCGCCTCGAGATCCCCAGAGACGCCCCCATATACCGCACAGCAATAGTCAAAGTGGAGAAAAATTAAGGAAGTGACTAGGAGCCTACGGGTTTCAAAAGGAAATAGGTGAGGGGAATCATTTTAAGAACAATGGAATTAAGAATAATAAGGGGAAGTACTCATATTTAACCTTATGTACATAAGTTGAAATGTAATTCTACTATGAAATAATAGTGTTCAAGTATCCTCCAATATGCTTTTGAAGTTTATAGCCTATGTAGCCCATATAGGCTATATGGGGTTTTCTAGGGTCAGGGGGTGAGGACGAGGGGATTAACATCAGAGTTAAAAGCCCTTCTGGGCCTCGGGACGCGAACACTTTAATATTTTATCAAATTATCTTTGATCCAGGTTGCCGGGCAACGGCAGCGCTATGTAAACATCTATAATCCAAAATTAACATGAGAGAAATATTTAGTAGTTTAATAAACTTTTATCATTAAAATTAGTTAGTCACCCAGTAACTAAATTATATCTGTTTACTAGTTTTATAAAGTTATAATTCGTTCTTGATTGACAATAATTCATTGTGATGAATACTTACAACATCTACCCAACCATAAGGAACCAATGTGAGTTTTGAAATTAGAGAAGCAAAATCAAATTTGGTGTCAGTATAAGCTGGAAGCAACTGGTCTGGAATAAAATCTTGACAATCCGGGCATAATGCCTCATAGTAGATAGTAACTTCAACCTGAAATTTAAATATATGTTTTTTAAATTTTGATTTCTATTGTTGTGTAATCATAAAATAAATAATAGGTATTCATGAAGTATTATTTAATGTTTGTGATCTTAATCCTTCAATATTAACGCAAGACCTTATTATATTATATCTATTAATAACAATAGGACCTAAAATAATGTAAATTATAGGTTATTCCTTGAGAAGTCGCATCCAGTACAATTCTCCAGCTGTCGTGTATAGAATTTTTAGTTTTTATCTCTCAATTCCTGTCATTCTCAACGACTTCCTATTATGTCAATTTCATCTGGTCACATAATAGTATGAAAAATTAGATCTAGATAATAAAAAGGAAAGGCTCCTCGGATAGAATAAGGTTGTAAATATTGAACAAATACTTCTTATTATACCGTATAAATATTTTTCGAATATATCGAAATAGTAATTCGATACATCCAAAAAATATTTTAATATAATTTTGGATTTTAATATTTATAATCTTCAAAAACAGCAGAGATGTAAATATCGATTGATAACATCGATAACTATCAAATCAATTTAAATATTAATATAAATATCAACGTTGTGGACTTTGACGTTTAGATTTTTTTTTTGGCCCAAGACGCATTGAAATCTTTGAAAGAAGGTAAACAGGATTAACATTGAATTTAATTCTGAGATTTGTAGTAGCGCGGAGTGGTAATATGTATTTGACAAAGTTCAATTAGTTCTTATCAATTACAGTTGAGGCGGATTGTACTAAAATTGAATAAACCCACTCGTAAATAACTACTTAAAAAAAAATTAATATTCTATATCTAAAATCTGGATCAATATCAATATATCTTAAATAAGATCAAGGATCGATATTGGCTCCTTTACTTTACATTATCTGTACGCAGGACATTCCTACCACCTACTTGACACCCGAAACATTGACTGCTACTTACACTGACGATACAACAATTTCAACAAAACATCACGACCACAAACTAGCCTCATTAAATTTACAAAATCACTTACTACAATTACAAAATTGGTATTCACTATGGAAAATTATATTAAATCATGACAAATCACACCATATAACATTTACGTTTCGACGAGACACATGCCCACCTGTTTATATCGACGACAATCAAATTCCTCAAACGGACACTGTACGTTATCTCGGGCTAATATTCGACAGAAGGATGACCTAGGGCCCACATGTTAAAAATGAAACGAAAGTCATTGAACAAGCGACTGAAAATACTATACTCACTTTTTCCAATTCAAAACTGAAAATCAAACAAAAATTAAAGACGTGCTCTCACCTATTTAAACCAATATGGACATGCACCTCACAAATTTACGGTTCTACGAAATACACGCACTTACAAAAGTATAATCATTTCAATCCAAAATTTTAAGACTAATAAAATCAGTTCCTTGGTACGTAAACAACAAAATCTTACATACCGACTTACTGCAACCAACTACCGACCAACACATACGTACTCTCTACTCCCGATTTCACCTTAATTTACACGGACATTACAACGTAGTTATTAACAACATGGCAACAGATGAAATGCCCACCAGGAGACGACTAAAGAGGAGCTGAATGAGAGATCTCTTTTCCTGAAGTAAAATAAGGCCAGGAAGAGGTACTGCTGGGTACTGCCGAACGGCGGACGATAAACATTACAATGCAAATGATTCACAATTGAACGAGCTGTTATATAATTGCAGTACCAACAATCTCTTTGTTCTTTTCTTCCTGTCAACATTTATATTGTTTCTTTAATTTTATAAACAGAATATAATTAAAACGTTTCGGATTTATAAAAAGTTTTAAATATCTGATGAATAAACAAATTGAAGGTGAAAACAAATATCACTCATTATTTATTCCTACTGATAATAGGATAATTCATTTTGAGAGTTTATATTTTATCTATTAAAAAAAAAACAGGTAATTGATATTCACGAAAAAATAGTTGATATTCCATGATGGCTCAAATATCAGCAGCCATATATTAAAAACACAGATGTAAACTAATATTAAATTAATATAACGTAATATTATTTATTACTCACTGGCTTCACATTTTCGCTGGAAGGTCTGGCCAAAACACAGCCGACGATGGCAAGTAAGAAGAAGAGAACAGCCATGGTTACTGAATATCTGTTGTTCTAAACGCTTGGTATAAATACATGTTCTCATTGTGGAGGGGGTAATGACGCCGTGGAGTACTCGATATCAAAGAAGTTCTCCATAGAGGTTATGTATATTAGTTTCAATCAGTGTTGCCGTTCGTACGAGGATCCGGGTATTTGTAGGAAGTTATGACATCATGTACGAGGTGCGAGGAACGGCCAGCCTGGTACCTCGTACATAATTTTTGCTGGCTTATGCAAAGATATATTGTCATGAATGAAGTTTAGATTTGTTTTACAATTATTTTTACTTTATTATTATTTATTCATATGTATAATATGAAATACTTAACTATATTAATATGTAATACTTAACTTATGTTGCTTTATAGACTAATAAATTGCAGTTGCGCCTTCTTTAAGTTGAGTATATGTAATGTTTTTTTTTTTTTAATTTTCTTGAAAACAAAATTGTTACCATCATTTAAAAAAAAAATATTTTCGATTTTTATTTAGTATAAAATAAAATATAAGAAAGTATATCCATTATCTTCTTCATAACATTACGATTGTTACACAACTTATTTAAATAGTTCAAGTAAACAAAATAAAAAGTAAATAATGTTGCTATTTTATTTTTTACAGAAACTTTTCTGATAGTTTCTTAAAATATATGCACTTTCTCCATATTTAATTTCGTGTCTTAAATTAAACACATTTTACTTCCTGGCCTATTAACTTGTATAAATATAAAAGGAGGTGTATCAGAAATACAATACAAATGAAAGAAATACAAATTGCAACAAACGAAATAGAAGTTTTGGGTTGGCAACTAAGTCCTTTCGGTTTTTCAGGGTGAAATAAAACGCAATGTATTATAAACATAATTTTTTTTTAATCTACAATATATTGACCATTATTTAATATGACTTTTTCCCTTTTTTCCAATTACTGTATAATGCCATGTTTATAGAATATCTAGAGTTTATTGTTAAAAAACTGATCCAAGTGGTTTTTGATGTCCTCTTCCTTTTGGAATATTTTTCCATTCATGGAGTTCTGCAGAGACTGGAATAAGTGGTAGTCACTTGGTGACAAAATGAGGTGAAGGGCCTAGCGTTGTCTTGGTGTTTTTAAAATAATACAACAAAATATGCCGATAGTGAATGATATTTCCTCCCACGTTCACAGTGCAATAGCAAACACAATACTAAGCTAGTTTCAACAAGAGTTAACAGATATAGTTGTTGACATATTACAAACAGGATAAACAATCCACCTTGGGGATTAATTCTTCAGATAATAAGTGTATGATGGTGACATAAAAATAAAACGAAAGGACTTATTTGCCAACCCAATGTATGACAAACGAACCAATAATGGTGAAGGCGACCTTTTTTCTCTATTATTAATGACATTATCTTACGGTTCAAATGGGAAGGAAATAGATAGCCTTGAGTTTTTAGTACCTCATCAATTTAATTAAATTTAAGAGAAAACATTCGATTTCTGAGAATTTTCTTAGATAAAGCCATTTACGAAGTTTTAGAAGGATGTTCATTATTTGGTAAAGAGAAGTATTCACAGCGAACTATTAATTCAAGTGGCACCGGGGATTTGGTGAAGCAATACCTCACTAATTGAAGCGGTGAACTTGAACTATTAGAAATTAACTTGATCTTAACATATCTGACACTGTAATTATTGCAAAGTATATCGATAAGATGTCCTAAAAAAAAGACAACTGACACGGATGGATAAAAACATTTCATTATTTGTTCGAATTCTGACAAATAAAATTAAATCACCTTTACCCTTCGTCATAAACCAATGACTTCCAATACCTCTTTTGAAGAAATCCGATACCTATGACTCCGATACCTGGACAAACATCTAACTTAGAATCCTCATACCAGACTGAAACGACTTAAAAACCAAAACTTTTCTTACATTTTTCGCAACATATATCCTCTTTTGATCTTCAAATTACCTAGTAATTATAGAAAGCAGCGACTCTGGAGTGTCAGACAAGGTTCATTTTACTTAAAATAACATTCACATTTTTAATTTACATTCAAACCTTCGTCTGCGATGAGGTTACGTTTTAAGCGCTGGCTCGAGGGCTAATAAGACGTCCAGGAATGACGATACGCACGTTATCCTCAACGAAGATTGTTCTGGTATAACGATAGGCTTTCAAATGGGACTAATTGATAACGCTGCAGATGGATCGGAAATTCTGTTGAAAATCGATTCTTGATCTGCTCCGTTGATACGTTTTGATGGAAGTGGCGGATATCTTCACATTTGAAGTTTTTGTTTGGACCTCGGTTTACTTAGGTCTCATTATCGATAGGGTACTAAGAGCATGGAGGTACAGTTATTAAATTATGAGTAAGTATTTATCATCTAAAAAAGGGTTAGTTGATCTAAATTGATGTTTATTGATGTAAATGCTATAAAGAAAAATTGTATTTTATCCTATTTTAAATTTATAAATGAAGGATCTTAACCCTACTTTTTCTTCCTAAATTCAAACCTGATTGAACTCATCTTCAAATAGGTCGTGTAATTGTTATCCATGTACTCGCTCCAGTTCCATGAACTGGAATGAATAGACTTGAGAGGACACAAAAATAAATTACTTAGGAAAAAATATTTTTGGCAGTCAGACCATTATCCGATAATTCTAAAATTGATATCTTATAAAATTGAATTAATGAATTCAAAAAAATAATTCTCTAATGAAATACATTCAATGATTTACAATAAATATATTGACTATATTATAATTTCCTGATAATCAGGGCTTCAGACTATTCATTACCATATCGTGGCCTTGGAATATATTCTGGTATGACAAAATTCTAAATGAAAAATTTCAATATTCAAAATGCTATTAAAAAGTGGTATAATTAAGTCATCAACAAATGAAAAATATAAGTCCTCCACTTCAAAGTATTGTACAAACAAAATTGTTACGAGTGTAAAGGACAAAAAGAGGACGCAAAAAATAAGGAATCTTCTACGAAAAAACTGGTAAAATTAGCTCTTCTGCTTAAATCAGACAAAATATTTAATTAAGTATTTTAACACCAAATATCGGTATTAAATGAGACTTCCATGAATTTTAAAAGATTTTCGAGTGTGCACAGAAGTGACCGATGAAGAAATATCATTAGCAAATTGGTATCTGTCAAGAGGTCAGATTTCTGGTAAAACTCGAGATCAAGTCCTCCTTATCGATAAAATGTCAAATTGTTTTTCTCTTTATGGATTACAAAATACTCAAATATAAGCAGAGAAATATGTTCTGTTATATTAATCAATGTTAAATCCTATAATCAAACAGAAAAAGTTGAATAAACTACTCAAAAATATATAGAGAAATATGCTATGTAATATATACTTATGAATAGTAAATATTATAATCAAAGAGAATGAAAATTTTTATGTTTCATTGTGGCTTAGATATGCTTTCCTTGTGGTTTATGTAGCAATGGCTAGTTTCAATTTGAAATATCTTCCAAACATTATAAAAGCCATCCCGGCGCACACTCCAGCAACACACAAGTTTCCATGGACATGAACATAGATCGTGTGTAAATAACATTAGTATTAACTTGACACTAGATATTCTTAAGTTTACGAGTGTAAAGAACAAAAAGATGACGTAAAAAATGAGGAATCTTCAACGGAAAAAACTGGTAAAATTTCAGCTCCTCTGCTCAAATCTGCCATTTTTGAAATTTTTTTTAATTAACACAAAAATAATCATGTATCCGATATTTTCTGTCGTGCCTTTTCCATTTTAAAACGACTAAATTACCTCCGTCCTCTATTTCTATTTGAAATATTTGAACTCCTGATTACTTCCTGAATATTTTCTCACTTCGACTATTTCCTCACGGTATACGGGGGCGTCTCTGGTGATCTCGACACGAAACTAAAACGTTTGATAAAGTGTCTTGCACGATTCATCTTTGGGATCCAAAAGGACGCTTCTGTTTCCCGTTATTATGAAGAGCTGAAATGGCTTTATCCTTCCTACAGACGTAAGTCACCTTCATCCTTCATCTTCCAAGTCACCCAATCCCGCCGTCCTTCATATATCTCCTAGCTCCTTCAATTCAAATCTTCAATCCACTCCCGTAAAACCCGTTTCCGGCATTCAGATTTGTACACAAGATCCCACCGAACCGCTGCTTTCGGCAGATCTTTCATTGTTCGATCCACATCCCTATAGAATTCTATCCTATCTGACATCCATCGCTCCAATACCCTTCTCACCTTTCAATCACACCTGTTCAATCACCTCTTATTCGTTCAGTTCTCATGAAATTATGAATTTGTATATAAATTAACCGTCTCGTTTTTCTAACATTCAAAAACCTAGAAGTTACTTTTGACGAGAACCATTCCTGAAATAACCATATTTCCCAGACTAACCGAAAATCCATAACTGTCCTTAAACAACTCCAAAGATTCCATGATTGTATTCCTCTAAAAACCAGAGTAATTTTTGTGTCACTATGATACACTTTTTATCTGATGAATTAATCAGATTTCTGGTAAAACTCGAAACAAAGTCCTCTTTATTGATAAATAATAATAATAATAAGGCTTAGCGAACCCGAAGAATCGATGCCGACACCACCAATCGCTTGTTACACACTTCCCTCCACCGTTCGCCGTCCAAACTCAGTCCCTTCAGATCGGCTTTAATGCAATCCTCCCATCTTCGCTTCGGTCTACCCCTCGGACGCTTACCATTCGGCACAGCAAATATTAACCTTTTAGGAATTCTCTCGTTACTAAGCCCAACAACTTTACAAGCCCATTTGATTCGCCGCGATGAAATTACCTCAATTATATTACCCGGATACATCTCACGCAATTCGGCGTTGTGTAACCGTCTGAACTCTCCGGTTAACTCATCCTTTTTCGGTCCGAATATTCTACGCAATACTTTATTTTCAAAAACCTTAAGACGCTGCTCATCCCTTAATGTAAGC